TAGTTTAGGGCATTCATACTGATGTCATTCCTTCCTGCTCATTGTTATCCTGTCTGTCTCTCTGTCCCACCCCATTCAGCACGGTGCCTCCAACACCAGGACCTGCACTGAGCCAGCACAGTTGTTTGCACAGCTGTGCTCAGCACTGGACTGGCCCATTGTTTTAGCTGATGAAGAAACAAATGTTTTGCATTGCTGGATTGTATTTCAGATGGATTAATTCCTTCAGCTTCATTACAGGGAGGCCATATGAACTTCCACACTGACAAGACCGTGGGGCAGTAGGCCACGGTGTTGGGCAAGAGGAGCTTCAGTGGAAGGGGTGGAGGGAATGGCAACATGAAGTTTATTTGCTGCTACACATGCTGCAATTTCAAACCACAGCCTCTGGCTGTGTTTTCCTGAGTGACTGCTACTAGAAAGACAAACCTTAACTGCCTGTTTTCCCTTTGCTTCTGTACCCTTCCATGCTCCCTATTCCTCTCTGCTGGCCCTGCTTCTCAGCTACTGGCCATCTTCTTCCTTGCTCCAACACAATTTTTCCTCAACTTTTGTATGAGTTGATTTAACTCACTAACTCAGCAGTAAACTATTTGAACTCTGCATTCTAAATTTGTTTTCTTCAGATCAGATTCCTGTTGTGGCAGGAATCAATGTGTTTCAAACACCAATATTTTTATTTCATATTTCTGCCTTTTTTTCAGAGAAAAAAATAGCATCACACCATGACAGAATGATAGCAGGCCTAATTCCTCTTAGGGGTCTGCATGTCCTGTTTCTCTTTTTGAGTCTTCCTCCTAACAGATGCCTGGCTTGTACAGTTATAGCTCTTCTTCTGCTACATCTTACACGGAACTTTGGATTCCACGAAGATGAATAGAAAGCATCTTGCTGTTCCACATCCCAGAACATTCAGATTTATATTGTTGTTCTTGTTGTAGTATTAGAAGTCTTCCCATGTTTCCAAAGGAAAGAACCAGAAAGGACCAGGTTCTGGTGGGTGAAACGCCAGCCCAGAGTTTCAGTGCTATTCTCAGAACCATATAACCTAGGACAAGATATTTTGTCTTCCTGTGCTTCCATTCCTACCCATTAGAACTCACAGTGTTGTCCTACAAAACTAGAAATAATAATACTTCCTGACACTAGTTACAACTTGTGCTGCCTCCTCTGATGTGCTTAGCAGTAGTGTCAAACAGAACAGAACACTAATCACTAACTGGTACAGTAATAAAAATTAGTTTATAATATGAGCTCAAACTACACCTTCCATTTTTTTATTGCCACGTTATTTATTATTGAATTAATTCTGAAGTCCTTCAATTCATCTATGTAGAAAACAACTACAGATTTTAATCCTTCTCACTCCAAGCTGTGTTTCCGGAGGTAGCATTACCCTTTCGCAGAGTTTAAATATCTTTAGTGCCATCTTCTGTAGGGCAGTGGCATGTCAAGCACAGTTCTCTTTACTGACACAATGAGCTGAACTGAAGGCATTTGTCGCTCTGTTTTTCGGCTGACTGTGTGGATAAAAGTGCTGTCAGCAATACTGAAGCACATGTCACTTTAGCATGGCTTATGACCGAAGACATGTACCACAGTTTAGGGGTCTTTCCACCAGACTGTGCTTGGATGCACAGTTACATAAGAGTGATCCTCTTCTGTACTTCAAAACAGATATTTATCTTAGAAATAGCAAGGGGTGAAACACTGTTTTAGATCAATACTGATCTGAAAATGTCTATTTGTCTTGCTGAGCAGCAGCACAGGTTCAGACTAAGACCAATCAAGAAATACCTCCTTAACTTACAAGATCTTTTTCTCATTTCATAAAGCTTGGTGTCTATTTTTAATTTTCTTTCCGTGTACCTTGTCATGAAAACCTAACTCATCTAATCTTAAAAATACCTGCCTGACTGCTGTTTCCCCACTTCCTGAATTCACTTTGTTTCTGTGCCAGCCACATCATGTACTGCTAAATGTCTGTCTACATGTGGAACAGGGGTTGTCACCTGTGTGGAGGCTTGGATGGAAGACACAAGACAGTACTAAGGAAGATAATTAATCCCTCTCTGGAGACATTAAAAACCCAGCTGGACATGATCCTGTGTAACCTGCTGTAGGTGGCTCTGCCTTGGCAAGGATGTTGGACTGGTTGATCTCCAGAGGTCCCTTCCAACCTTAACCATTCTCTGATTCTGTGTTAATTAAAGGAAGGCTGAAAAATTTGTAAGCGTGCATTTTAATGTAAAAAATTAAATGTCACCTAAAGTTGTGTATTGCTGTCTAGTGTTAATGCCAATGGAGGGAACCCTTTAAACATAATGAGAACTAGCAATGCTGTGCTTCTTTAAAGAGAAATGAGGAAACTAACAGGATGGCTCTTCCAAGGAAATCCTTCTGTCAGAAAGTCCACAAGAAGAGACACTTTTGAACACCATTAACTAAATATGAGCCTATTTTCTTTCTGAATAAACTCCTCAGAGAGACAAGTCCGACTTTTTTCTATTTAGTGCTTGTTTGGCTACAGGTACTCCTGTCCTAGTATATGACTAACAAGTCATATGTCCTCAATATGCTTTCATGTTTAGGACATATGCTTGGGCTTTCACCAGTACTTAATTGGTTCTTCACTTTTAAAACTGCTTCCTTTAAGTCTTCCCCATAGATTTTGCATCCTTGCCTGTCCTGTTTTCTACAAATGATCCAGGGGGTTTTGCTGACAGACCAAATCTCTTATTGCATGAACTCCAAGGGGAATTCTTGGAAAGGAAATTGTTAGCTGATGGGTGTAGTCCCATGGCAGGCAGGCACTGCACCAGCTTCTCCTAGTTTCAAATGTAAAGGATTCTATCATAAAAACCTTCTGTGGCACTACTAAAAGGATGCTCTAGAATCTCACTGCCCCCTGAGTAAAAGTATTTTTCTTAAAAACACAGGTGTCAAGGCCGGTTTCTACAGAGAGTGGGAAATACCACTCGAAACTTCCAGAGAGTGAAAAAGCCATCAGAGAAACACCCAGTGCTTCATGCTATTAAAACTTATGAGCTGAGAGACTTCACTGCATGAGGAAAGTTTTAATGTTAGGGGTTACTGCAGCTGCTGGGATTCCGTCCTGTAGCCTAACACAGCCTCTCATGCCCCAGTGCCTCAGGATCAATCCTGTGATACATTTACAATCATGGCAGCACTGTGTTTCAGATGTATCACCCGTCTCTGAACAGTCATTAGTCCTTGTGCCACCTCTAGTGCTTAGGGTCAACAGAGATCTTCCTCTCTAGTGCTTTCAGCTGAAACATTCATGGGGACCAATCAAGCAGTGCACGAATACAAGAACAGGGGCATGGCTGGATTCAGATTCTCAATAGTTCTCTGCTGCACACAGATCCTCAGAATGTCTCAAAAATTTTACTTTTTTTTTTTTTTTTTTTAACTAAATAAAGCCTTGGGAATGACTGGCGTGGTTCTGTTTACTCTTCTTTGTAGAGCAGCCATCAAGAGAAACTCGGAAGTTACTGCTGAAGAGTTGTTGAGTCATCATATCAGTTTAAGTCATTCTTCCATAGAACCATAGGATGGTTTGGGTTGGAAGGAACCTTAAAGATCATCTAGTTCCAACTCCCCTGGCCAAGGGCAGGGACACCTTCTACTAGACCATGCTTCTTATGGCCCCATCCAGTCTGGCCTTGAACACTTCTGGGGACAGGGCATCTACAACTTATTTTGGCAAACTGTTCCCATTGGCTCACCACCCTCACACTAAAGACTTCCTAAAATCTAATCTAAATCTACCCCTTTTCAGTTTCCCCCTTGTCCAGTCACTACATGCCCTTGTATCAAGTTGCTCTCTGGCTTTCTTGTAGGTCTTTAGGAACTGGAAGGCTGCTGTACAGTCTCCTTAGACCCTTTTCTCCAGGCTGAACAGCCCCAACTCTCTGTCTGTCTTCATAGCAGAGGGGCTCCAGCCCCCGATCATCTTCATGGCCCTCATCTGGACCCATTCCAACAGATGCACATCCTTCTTATGCTGGGGTCCCCTTGAGTTGGATGCAGCACTCCAGGTGGGGTCTGATGAGAGCAGGGGAGAAACCACCTCCCTCGACCTGCTTCGAGCAGAACCACCTCCCACTCTGCTTTAGATGCTGCCTAGGCTGTGTAGCTGTTTTCCTTTCCCTGGGGCAACACTACACAGCACACAAAAGCCTAACCAAAATATAGTGATAGTAATATTTTTGAGTACTTATGCTGAAAATGTCAAGAGCTACTTTTAAATAACTTTCAGAACAGTGACAACTGATCTCTGTTTTGAAGGGTTTTTGGTTTTTTTCTTTTTTTCCAAAAGTTCTGCACACAACAGCTTGATAGCTGATCCTGACTGAGGAGGGGTCTGAGAGAAAGAAAAAAGGGGCTGGCAGCCCTTTGGGGGGCTTTTCATGCAGGACACACAGGCACCACCTGCAACGTTTATCTGCTCTCAGAGAGAACACCCTCGTTTTGGTGAGGAAATCGTTGGGTTGTTTTGGTGGGGTTTTCCCCCCCTTTTGCTCAGGTATCGCTGACACCTGACGGAGGGCGGCGCATTCGGCGGCGGGGCCGAGGCGAGTCCCGCGGGCGGCGGCGCCGAGCGGGCAGCGGCTCCCGCGGCGCGGGGAAGGGTTTCTCACGCTTCTATCCTCAGCGGGAAATAAACTCTTTTACTCCCCAGGAAATCCCGCGGCGGTGGGATGGGTCATCTGCACAGTGACAAACATTTTAAAATCCAGGGAGACAATCCGCTTGGAGCCTCCCGGGTGAGGAGAGGGGCTGCCGGGCCGTCCCGAGTGAAGCCGCGGCGGGAGGCGGGGAGGGGAGGGCAGAGGGAGGGCCGGGTGCCCGGCGGCCGCGGGGGCAGCGGCAGGCAGGGCGCTGGGCACGGCGCTGGGCACGGGCTCCCGGCGCCGCCCGCCCCGCCCCGCCGCTTCTGCCACAGCCAGCCGGGTTTGGGGGCGCCTCTTCCCCCCGCTTAAACGACCTGTGCGCCATCTGCGCCCGCACTCTTCCGAAGGAGTCGCGCCCGTGCTGCTTTACAAAGCCTTCCTCCCGCCAAGCGTAAGTAGAGCGGCCCTGGGCTGCGCCGCTCGCCCCCGGGCACGGACGCGCCGCCGGCACCGGGGCCGCGGGCACACTGGGGGCGGGAGCCTGCCCCGGCCTCTGCCCGCTCGCCGTGTCCCCCGGCCGTGGGATGGGCGCCAGGGAAGGGCAGGGCGGGGCCGAGCCTGCTCGTCCTACTGAGGAGGAGTCGCGGCAGGGGCTCTGCTGCTCTGAGTACCTTCCTGAGGGACCCTGGCGCGAGTGTCCCTCTGTTCCTGCCCCACGGGGGGCCCGTCTGCAGGCAGCGGCGCTCGCAGATGGCACGGTAACTGAGCCTGGTGTGGCACGGACAAGTGTCCAAACCTCACCGAGTACCTCAGAAGATGCAGTGGAGGACAAAGCAACAAATATTAATATCCAGGATGGTTGTGTAGGCACGTGTAATATCTTCCTTAAAAGTTGCCACTAACATGTGAACACTCATGTACATTTCTAGCCAGTTTAGCACTTGGAGTAAATTTAAGTCTTAAATGAAGCAGAGCCAGAAGTTCTTTAAACCTTGAAAATGGTGCTGCACAGAATGATGGAGTTCACGAGCATAACCTGAGATGGTTTCTGAGTTCCTTGAGGAGAGGTATGAGTTATCTGGCCCATACAAATATTTTCTACTCGTAGTGGGGAAAATGGCCAGGTGGCCTCCCTGCATGGACCAGGCTGTTACTTCACTCTGTTCACATCTTTGGTCCGAGAGTTACCAAAACACGCCAGTTATTCACTTGTTCAGAGAGGACTCCCAAGCGATGCAAAGTATTGAGATTAATAAATATTCTCAGGAAGGTATGAAGCTTGATGAAGCAAAAATTTGCCAGTGTTATAAGCAAAAAAGTTGTTTCATTTGTGTCTTTTTTTTCCTATAGGGAAAAAAATTTTGGGTTCGTTGCTGACTCACTGAAGAAATCATATAAACCTGGCATGTTATTAGAAAGTGTGTTAGGTCTTTAAAACACTGACATAGATACAAAGAATTAATTGAACTGAGTAGTCAGAGATATTAGAGGTATTTACTTCTTTTATTTAAAGGGAAATGAGAGAAACTGGAACATTTTAGATTTAACTAGAAAAACTTTAAATTGTTTCCATAGTACAAAGGTGTACTTTGAGGAGTTTGAACAGGGTCTCCCTTGCAGTTACTTTAACTTGCCTGAAGTCCTCTCAGACAGATACTCAAATGTTGGAGTCCCTGCTTCTCTGCAGTGAAAAAGGGTCTTGAGTCTTTAGATGCCGGAAAGGCTCATCTTTCCTTTGTATATCTGGGGCGGGGGGCGGGACACTCCTCACGGCGCAGTTTTTAGATCTGTGTGGCTGATGGCATGTGGGCACCTGACAGCTCTGTCTCATTCAAGCTTCACTCCCTCGGGATGTAGGACTGCTGCCCTCATGCTCCACGGCTGTTCTGCAGTCCCCCGGTAGCTCCACACCCTTCACACCTTTCAGCTTTACTGGTAAGTCACTCTTTTCATTCCCACGTAGAGCTCTGAGATGGCATTTGAGTATTTATTCTGGGGGAGACAAGGGGTTGCTTTTTGTTCCTGTTTTTCTCCTGCAGATAATGAACCAGGGCAGGGGCTGCAGCAGGGAAGAGGGAGTTTAACAGGTGGGGTGTAGCTCTCCTCCTGGGCTCAGCCCTGCACTCCTCGTGCTTTTCCTTTACTCAGGCCAAACTTTCACTCAGAGGTCAAGTGGAGTCAAGAAGAAGTCTAAAGCAGTTTTCCCTGGGATTTAAGGAGGAGGCTCCATAGCAGTAAAGTAAGTTCAAGGTAATAACAAGATCAGTTAAGGAATTAATTTTTAACAAGTGCTTAAAATACAATGAGAGTGGTGATAGATGTGTCTGAAAGTGTGACACTGGGAGCATGAAGAAAGGTATTTTTCAAATCCTTGTTTGAACAAGTTTATAAAATGAACTGTGAAATCTCTATTGTGATTTATGAAACACTCACCATTATGTTTCATATATATGTACGTGGCCAAATGCCATTAAGTTTCACTGGAAATTATAGTAGCTCGTTCTGTCCCTGCACGTATGCCAGTTTGTCTGGAACTACATGGTCACACTGCAGATTTTCTGCAGAATGACTGCTTTTGTCTCATTTAAGTTTGCAGAGTTAAGAACCTGGTAGTGGTGGAGATTCCTGATTGTTTGGTGTAAAAATAAAGTAAATATTGCAGGTTGCTTTAATAGCTCTTTTTTGTTTGTTTGTTTGGTTGGTTTTTTTTTGGTTTTTTTTTTTTTTTTGGTCATACTGCTTTATAAAATAGATGTGATTTTGAAGAAAAAAATCTAAATCCCAAGTTTTTAGACTGTCACGAGAAATTAAAGGAAATGTGGGCAGAATTTGAATTTAAGAAATTGTATTCAGGCAAGGATATCTGTTAAGTTTCTAAATATTTATTATGGGACATTTTTTTGGATATACCAATATAATGAAATCATAAATTCATCAAGTGTCATAATCTGGTAATGTATGTAGTATAGCTGTGTACTTATTTGTGTTCATATGTGTATACAAATACATAAATATGTGCATGTTTGAGTAAATTTATAAATAATAAAATGTCAAATTTTGGACACCTAGTGCACAGAGTGATGAACCTCTTCAGTGACATCATCGGAAATAAAAATAACTGGAAAGTTTGTTGATGTCACAAATTATTCTTCTCCTGCAGAGGGATAGATATGACATTGTAGCTTCTAAAATTTATTCTCGCTTGATTGTTCTCTTTGTTACATGCAAAGTGTGTTTGTGCATGTACTAAACTAGTAATTAATAACACAACATTGATTCTTAAATGCCATGCCTGTTTTTATGAATGTCCATTTTTCAGTATGGTCTCAAAGGAATGATTTTATAAAACAAGAAATACAGTGCAACAAAAAACACCAAATAATACAAGACTCTTGGTTCTTGTTAAATGATATGAAGGTTCATGAAGTCCTTGGTTTTCATACTGTTGAATTAGATTGTTTTCTGAGACAGATTCTCTCTCATTCCCTTGTGGGTATTCATGGACATAATGAAATGCAGATAAAGATGTTTCATTTCATAATCTGCATTTTTTTCCAAGCACAAAAAGAAAAAATGTCTCCTTTCACAATCCATATTGAAGATTAGGTCTTAAGAGTTGCCTGTCTCTGTAGCACTGAAAGTAATACTATACAGTTGAATTTTATGTAATATTACAAGAGCAAGCTTGGGATATTCTCAGCTAAAATATTGAGTTGTAGCCATTTAAATGTAAACATAGGTATTCTTGAACTCACAAGGGAAAAATCAAATATTCTCTAAGCTTTGAACTTTCTGTTTTCATTTAATGTAATTTAATAATGATTTGTACCAAGACAACCCTTTGCAGTTGTTGATGTGATTTTTGGATGAGTTACATTGGCCTTAAGAATTGCTTACTGAAGAATATATTGACACTGAAGAAAGACACAGGACCTGGATTTCTGGGAACTCTCCAGCCAATGGAGATACGTAACTTTGCATTGCCCTTGGAAAAAATGTCTTTCCAGTATTTATGTACTATAGACAAGACACATTTGTGGTGAAGGCAGCAGTTGCTGCAATTCATTCTAGGATGAGCACTGAGGTTTTTCACCTCTGTGCAGTTGAGGTGCTGTGAAGTATCTGCTCATGGCTTAAACACTTTCTCTTGGTGTGCAGGATGAATTTGCACACTCTAATACACAGAAATAAATATTTTAGCTAATGTAAGCACTAAAATAGCTTCTTTATGTGTATCCTCTGAGAAAAGTGTGTTGTGTCATGTCTTTGGTGTCCTGAATTCTCAGCCTGGGCTGACCTGTAGTAAGAAGAAAAAAAAAATCTTGAGTAGTATTAGTAATTGGAGAATGATTAAGTTAGATGGATTTATTATTTGTCATCTTTAAGTTCTAAAAATTTTTAATGTTCTTCTGTTAATCAGTAGATAAATCCTCAGAGAAGCACAAAATGTCCTGTTTTCATTGTAGACATCATTGCATGCTCATTACCTGAGCTGCCAATTTTGTTTTATCTGGATGGAAAATAAAGAGTGAGGCAGAGAGTGTCAAACTGAGAGGCACAGAATAATGTAAAGAACAGCAGAGAAAGGAAATATTGAACTTGGGTTTATGCTAAGCTTCTTTAATCCATCAAATATCACATTATTTATTTTGCTTTTCCTACATTTTCCCACTCATAATGAGAACATGCCTGAACAACAGTTTAGTTCTGTTCAAAGCTGGAACTAAACTGGGTAATCTTCAAATAATTTTGAGTTAAAAAAAAAAGTATAAAATTAATTCATTACTGTTGTAAAAAATATTATTTGTCAAGATTAAAATTACTTAACCATCCAAAATATTTTAAACCTTATAACATTAAGATGGATGGTTAAATTTTAAAGTAATATAAACATATTAAATTAAGACTATAAAAATACTATAAAAATTATTCAGCTTTGGGCTACTGTTTTAAGAGGAGAAAAAATACATTATTCAAAAAGAATCTGAATATATTTTTTAAAAAAATGTTTCAGGGAACATACGTACACAAAATCAGTATGTTGTTGTTAGTGTCATCGTTTGTAGTTTATCGTGTTACATTGGAAGAAGAATTCACTTATATTAAAAGGAATGCATTTTTGAAGAATAGCAAAGATGTGTTTTTAGGGGAAATTTTTATTAAATTAACTTTGTGTGTTGAAAAATGAGTTAGTATACCAGGATTTATAGAACTGCAAAATACTAATGGGTGTGTTGTTGCTTTTTGTGTGAAAGCATACTGCTCTGCAGTTACAGGTATTTTGTTGCTTCACAGTAAAATCAAATTATAAAAAATACCTTAAATAAATTTAATTTCTTTCCTTGCATAACTAAAAACCTGAAAGAAGTTTAGGATAGACTTTGGAAATGCTTCTTCTGGAAAATCAGTGACATAATTGCTGGAAATTACATTCATATAATGATGAGAATAGTACACTTCTTTAGTGGTAAATTCCTAGCTCTAGCGATTAACAACTTTTTTTTTCTCAGGAATTGTAAGACACCCAGGTGTTCGGATAAGAATTATAAGCATAGCAAGATGTAATCAAGTTATATATGATAATATTCTAAGATTTTTAAACAAGAAGATAATCACTGTTCTGGTAGGGTTGGGGTTTTTTTGTATGCAAATTGTTAAATCTGAATTACAATTATGATACCAGTATTTCTGAAGGTATTGAAGTTAGCTGAAAGCAAATTTTTAAATTTTGTTTATAGTTGAAGGTTGACATATAAAATACAGAAGTGAGTTTATTAGGGAAATGAATTGTACTTATATATATTCCAGTATTCTTACATATAATCCAGTTAGGAACAGGCCAAGGATAAGAGACGTGATACCAGGAGGTTTCTCTTTTTTCTCAATTGGAGGAAGCTTGTGAGGAATCTGATATTAAAATAAAAATCTCGCACTTTAAGCCTTTCCAAATCAGCAATTGTGTCTCTGCCTAGAATTGGACTTGGGATGCCCATCATGCATGGGTTGGTGGAAACTGCTGAGAATATATGCCAGTTGTTTGTCATAGAAATAAGGTCATAGGATGTAATTCTGGTTTTTTCCAAGAAAATCTCTGTATTATAGTTGCTGAAGTGACCTTGAGTTTGTTGTTTTGGTTTTTTGTTTTGTTTTCCTTTGTTTTGTTTTGTTTTAATGATATTGCAGTAGGTATGGTTCAGTAACACAAACTGCCAGTACAGTAGGGGAAATAGCAGAGAAACCTTTTCACCATTCCTTGCAGAATTTCTCATTCTTCCCAATATTTCAAGTTATTATAATGTCTGGGTTTTTTATAAATAAACAAATTCAAACATGATTAGGCTTTGAGAATGTGCTTGTTGAGTTGCACAAATTCCAGAATTCAACTGTAAATTCCACAGGTTTTGAGTAATTATTTTTCTGTGTTTGTACAGTTTGAAAATAGCAGAGACCTATTACTAACTTTCTAATTGCTGGAGTAAATATGTTCTGATAACAATAAAATTATTAGAGTTAGGCAAACTTTGCATCACATTCTGGATACAAGTGCATTTGCATTAATAGTAGCATTATTCTGTTTAATTAATCTGATTTCTACCTGTTCTTTTCTAAATAAAAGCAGGAGCCGATAGAGCCATCTCAGACAAAGGAAACAGAAATAATGCTTTTAAAAACGTTTAAATTTTGTAGAAAATCTAACTTACAAATCCTTCTTGCCAGTTGTGTATAGGCCTGTATGGGCCCTGTGAGATCATTTTAAACATGTCCCTTCTGTGCTTACCAAAGCCCGTGGTTGCGTGGTCCCAGGGTTCTTAAAGTATGTGTGCAGTATTCTGCAGAAGCAAGATGAGAAATATGATTTGTCAAGGATCAATCTGTTCTGCTCCAGCATTGTGCAATTGCAAGATGTTTTAACATTGCTCTAATTGCTCTGATGTTCTTGTTGTAGGTTAGAAATCTGAAGCAATGGGTGACTGGAGCTTTCTGGGGAGACTGTTAGAGAATGCGCAGGAGCACTCCACGGTTATTGGCAAGGTTTGGCTGACGGTACTGTTTATCTTCAGGATCCTGGTGCTGGGGGCTGCTGCTGAGGAGGTCTGGGGAGACGAGCAGTCGGACTTTACGTGCAACACTCAGCAACCTGGTTGCGAAAATGTTTGCTATGACAAAGCCTTCCCCATTTCTCACATCCGCTTCTGGGTGCTGCAGATCATTTTTGTCTCCACTCCGACCCTCATCTATCTGGGCCATGTCCTGCACATTGTACGCATGGAGGAGAAGAGGAAAGAGAAAGAGGAGCTGAAAAAGAAGGGAAGCAGCAAAGATGGCAACTACCCAGTAGCAGCAGCATCTGGCAGTGGTGGTGGAGGAGGCAGCAATAACGTCAAAGATCAATCTGTTGTCAAAAGGGGGAAGGAGAAGCTCCCTATCCGTGACGAACGTGGTAGAATCCGTATGGGGGGTGCCTTGCTCCGTACCTATGTCTTCAATATCATATTCAAGACACTGTTCGAGGTGGGCTTCATTGTGGGCCAGTACTTCCTATATGGGTTCGAGCTAAAGCCGGTCTACCAGTGCAGCCGCTCACCTTGTCCACACACTGTGGACTGCTTCATCTCAAGGCCCACTGAGAAAACAATCTTCATCATCTTCATGTTGGTGGTGGCCTCAGTCTCCCTGCTGCTGAACATGCTTGAGATATATCACTTGGGGTGGAAGAAGCTTAAGCAGGGCATGACGAGCCAGTACATCCTAGAGATGCCTGTCGCAACAATGACACCAGTTATGGTAACAGGGGAGTCCAAACCTGTTTCCCTGCCACCACCAGCACCACCAGTGGTGGTCACCACTGCCACACCAGCCCCTGTTCTGCCTGACACCCGCGCTGTCACACCGCTGCTGGCCCCAGTGACCATGGCATCATACTATGCTACAGCTGCTCCAAGACCACGGCCCCCCTCCAACACGACGTCCATGGCAAGCTACCCTACTGCTCCACAAGTTCCTGAGGAGAGGCACCGTGCTGTGACTCCCACGCCCATCTCAACTCCCGTCACCATCCCGACCCCCATCCCCACGCCCACGCCGGCCGTCATCAACTACTTCAACAGCAGCAGCCGTGCCCTGACATCCGAGCAGAACTGGGTCAACGTGGCAGCTGAGCACCAGGGGAAGGTTTCCTCCAGCTCAGCAGGCTCCTCTACCCCCAGCAGCGTCCGGCATCCCCTTCCTGAGCAGGAAGAGCCACTGGAGCAGCTACTCCCACCCCCGGCTGTGCTGCCCATTGCCGCAGCCAACAGCGGCAGCAGCACCAGCCTGAGCGGGGCGAGCGGCAGCAAGTGGGATGTGGAGGGCGAGGTGGAGCTGTCGAGGGCACGGCCCGTCTCGGCGGCCTGCACCACGGTGGAGATGCACGAGCCACCGCTGCTTGTAGACGCGCGGCGCCTGAGCAGGGCCAGTAAGTCGAGCAGCTGCAGAGCCCGGTCAGACGACCTGGCCGTGTAGTGCGGTCGCCCCTGCTCGGGGAGCAGGTGGTGGAAGGCGGAGTGGGCAGGGGAGCTGCCTGGGGAGGCCAGGCCTGGCGTGGGTGAGGAGGCCTGGGCTTCAAACTTAGACGCTTGCTGTTTTTGCACTCTGTGAGTTGTAGTGGGGAAAATTATCAACATTTTCTAATAGGTCAGGGGTGACTGAAGCGCAGCCCATGGGCCAGGGGACCAGTCCCACTTTCCTTCATGTTCACAGCAGATCCCTCAAGGGCAGCCGTAGGGGAGGCCTGCAGAGATAACAGGTGGTGATGGTAGCTGGTCATGTGCCCTGAGGCTGACTTTCCTCTGAGAAAAATGTTAATATCCCTGGTGCCCGTGCACCTAGCTGTCATCTCCTTCTTGCCCTTGCCTGCACTTCAGCTCTTTCATGTAGAGTGAAACTCTACATGAGCAGATGAAGTGACTTACTTTCTTCCTCTTAAATCTTACGTAGCCCTATGGCAAACATCAGGGTGGTATATTGCCTCTTGGCACCTGTTGTGTCTACGGACCAACTTGCCTTATTAAAGGTAACTCAGTTTCTTCCATATAACATGCCTTATGAAGCCTTTGTGTTCATGGCAAGTCACCGATGCGGTCCTTGGCCAGGCAAAGTTTAGGGAACCCCTGGAATAGATTTTTGAGGTTCTTCTTTCCATAATTTTTTTGTTTTACTCTTGACCTCTTAGGAAGTGTTCAGTTTGACCTTCTATCCAGTGTTTGCCAGCCATGATCATACCATGTTTATAAGCCTGCAAATATGTTTGAGCATGTTTGACTATAATTTTAGCTGACTTCTAAAATTGCTTACAGGAGGACAGGAATTCAAACCACACCTCGGAAATTATTACACAGAACAATTTCTCCAGAAAGCAAGGATTATGATTTCAATACACTGTGGCTCCATACATTGCCCGTGGACAAGCAATTAGGATAAAGTACAGCTCTGCATTTTAGACTAATAGATATCAGCATAAGTTTGTTGGAAAAATGCTTTTTAGAAGTAAACTTGAGTGCTTATTTTTAAGTATTTGAACATTTTGAGAATAAACTGTAGGTTTAAAGTTACTTGACTGTGTACTTAATAATTTTAGTTTGATCTTTGATCTTACAAAAAAAGTAAGAGGAAAAAAACTTACTAATGGTGAAATTCCCAAATCAACATTATTTCCTGTTGTGTACCATTTAACATCTGTAGTGTCTTTAGGTCAGTGAAAACAGACTTAGATAATATTGTATTGCAGAAAAAATGGTTAAAATATCAGGGCAATGTGGTGGCTGAAGGGTCTGAAGCAAACTGAAGTCACTTTCAGAATTTCCATTCAATTTAACAAGGAGCAAGATTTTGGAATGTATCTTGCAGGCCTTATTCAAGCAAGACTAACATTCACATGAAGTTTTGGGAGCCAGAAGAAATTTAGATTTCGGGCCTTAGAAAAGACATTGAAATCCTGCTTTTGAAAAATGTGTGTGTCCCTTAAAAATGGGTGAAGGAAAGTACTAGGGTTTTTTGTCTAAGGTGCATCTTTCCTTTCAACAGGCTCTGTCCTTTATTCCCTCCTAAACAAGATGTTAGAATTCTGCGTGCCTGAATAGGCTCAGGAGAGTTTCAGTACAAAAGGAACACAGAATTAAGCCCAGCTTCTGTTCTAAACAAAATCCAAAAGAACTAAAGCTTGGAGTCAGTCCTGTTGCTGCTATAAACCGGACGTACTGTAACTGGAAAAGAGCAATCAAACACACTGGGATAACCCTTTGCATCTTCAAAGCGTTTGGCCTGGCAGTGCAGTCCTTACTCAGGCAAAGCAGGGTCAACCTGTAGCAAGTAGTTAACATTACCAGTTTTTTCTGCTGTTAAATGTTTTCCTGAGTGTGCTTATTTTATTCAACAGTAAAAATATATTCCTAAGATTAAACAAGATTAAAATACATTCAAAAGATTGAATATTTTTGCTGCTTTTTGAGTAGTCACAAAGAGCTTCTCATGATCAGCAGCACTGTTCTGCAATCCTTGGGCATGTTGTCTCATGACTTCCTTGTCCTGCTTGTGTTAAACCAGGTGAGGAAAAGTCCTGCTACTGCCATGGATCTTAAGGGCAGCCGCTGCATTAAAAGTCAATATATAGTAGTACAATAAAGATATTTATTATTAAGTATTCAGCTTCAGGCATGCTCTCATGGATTTTCTGTGTTATAAGCCATAAAAATCCTTTCTGCAATAAAACTAAAAGCCAAGTTCTGCTTTCGATTGAATCCATGCAACTATGTTAAGCATAGACTAAAGCTGATGAAGTTGCCTAGATGTAAACAAAGGCAGAGATTAAGATTCAAAATTTTAAGATTTACTAGCATATATAGTAGCAGTTTTGTAAGTTTTGATATATGCTAGTTAACTATATTGCTGAAATAATGCAATATATGCATCTCTGTTTTAGTACATTGGAGTTTATGGGCTACATTTTCCTTTGTTCTGTGCTTCTGAAGAATGAAGTCAAAGTCTTTCTGGAGTGTATTTATATAAACCAGACCACCTGGAATGTGTGCTTTTTTATATCACTTTCTGAGAGCAAAACTGATGATGTTTGATGGGGCTCTGCATCTTGCAGCCCTTACTTTAGTACTACCCTCACAGAGTGTGTCCTGCAGGATTGCATCCATATTGTATATAAAAAATAGTAAGAGAGATAGATTTAACTTAGGGTCAACTGAGACCTAGGCTGACCTTTTCAAGTTAATGTGTGTGGTTAGACCTGCAGAAAGTTCAGATGCTTTTGTGGAATATATGGTGTTTTCAGCCAGAGTAACTACTGGAAAGATCTAAAAGATGGTTTTTCCTGTTAGGTGAAGCTCGGGGGGAGAACTGTAACTCTATTGCAATCCCTAAGAGAAGTCTGAGAGAGCAGCCTCTGCATCCAGGCAGTCCTGGTCTGAGAAAGCAAAGCTACAGCTCACAGGTTGCGCTTTTAAGGTCAGCTTAAGTTCCATCACGTAACTATGCAGCGCCAAGCCTCTTCATTGCCTGCAGTTCATGTGGAGTCCAGTAACTGTTTCTTCATTTAAGCCCAGGTAACTCTTTTGGCAGAACTCCTCCTTAGTGCTTACAAGTGCTTGTAGTTGCCGCATCACATCTGGATTCGGATTTGTTGGAAGAAAAATCTTACTGGTGTGGCCGATTTTGAGGACTTTAATCTTTACTCATGAATGGTCACTGAATTCAGCATCCTATGAGTCAAGTGCTGAATTCTGTGCAGAATTCTGCAGTTCTAGAAAATATGTACGAACACCCACTGACTTGCAGAATAGAGTCTTTTGGCAAAAATGATCTGCTAATTTCTAAGTCGTTGACTCTTTCCTGTCAATTAATGACAAAATTTCATGGGAACTGATAGTAGGTGATATCCTGATTTAGCCTGGTCATGTGGCTGTTCATGCCACAATTTTGAAAGACCTCAAGTGCTAAGATGAAACCTGTAGGTAAGTTATCAAAAAGCAGAACAGAATCATGCCTGATATTACGCAGACGGAAAAAAAAAAAAAAAAAAAACCCACACTAATTTTTGCTCTTTGAGTAGAATAATTTTGGGAAAACTTGTTCTCCCTCTTACTTGAAGTTGAAAAATGTGCTGAGGTGAAGTATGGAAACTGAGAAAAGATACTCTTTGAACAAGTTACCAGGTGTATGATGTACTACTCTTTTTGCAGTATATTTGTTGTTCAACAAGGCACTCAGAGCTAATTAAATGTCTGACATTATGCAGCTCTTAAGATTATTTTATGGTATGAATACGTAGGTGTAGGATCAGTAAAATAATAAAAGCAAGCTTTAAAAATCAGATCATTATTTAGGTCCTTTTTTGGTTAGTCATGGGACCACCTCCTCAGCTGCTGCAAACTTGTATTCCACTGAGTTCATGTGGGTGACAGCAGTCTGCAGGAGCAGAGTGTTGAGCTCCCAGGTATTTTAGTTTTATACAGACACTAACACCATGGATTTGAACAGACTGGGTTTTTGTTTTAAATTCCAAATGTTTTACTTTGATTCTTCTTCTGAAAATTGTGCTCTTGTAATTTTGATTTTCTGAAGTTTACATTCAGTTTTTGATTTCAGATTGCACATTTGGATGAAATAAACTGCTTTCTAAGTTTACATTTGTAGAAGAAGTAAAAGAATGGCTCTGCCAATGTGTTAAATGTGAGAGAAATGTCTTACTATAACACAGGAACTCTTCAGACATAAGGCAGTACCATTAAATTTAACCTGATCACTGATGCATAGTATCAGCTTTCTCTGTGTAATTAAAATATGGGCCTTGGATATATAAGGAGCACACCATGGAAAAAATATTTTTCATCATGAATTCAATTATTGCCAAATAAACTAAGGTTCACTGTTGTTCATAGGCTTTCCTGTGTGTTTAGAGCTGCAATGACAAAAATTAGGTGTGACACATGTCCTTTATGAGCTAAATTTACAGCCTGGTTTAAAATTCCAAACAAAGTACTCGTGAATAAACACTGCATTGTTACACTGTAGAAGATTTTATAAAAAATAAATGAAATTTTTTGCTTTCTAGGCAAAAATATGGTTCTGAGCCTGCAAATACAATTTCATGCATGTTATTTTAACTTCTGCAAATAAGACCATTAAAAGCAGTGGGAGTATTTGCATAAACTAAAACCACTCATGTATTAAAGAAATAGTAGATTTGCATTTTAAGTTTGCTGTAAGATGCCAATCTAATTCTAGAGTTTTCAGTTCTTGAAGAGTTATGCAAGATGTATGAGCATATTTTAAGGTGGAGAGTACATTGCTATTTGCATTGACACTGTTTCTCACAGTTAAAGGGTTCTAAAGCATAAGAAATCTTACTCAGAACTTGCTTGTTGCTTTCCAGATGTTTGTCTTTTACATGACAGAATCTAACAAGAAACAGCAAGTTTTCTGGGCAGTCAGGAACTTGCGGTAACAATAAAACCAGCGAACAGTACTGTCTTCAGAGAAGTGCCTTGAATATTAAATTCTGTAAGAAGCAAGTTGATGTAAACGTTAATTTACCTCATATGTTTACAAAATTGTGACTAAATAAACTTTTTGTACCACAGCATTGCCTCTTCTAGATTAAATTTTCATGGTTGTGTAGATGGTCTTTTGAAATACTAATGTGACAGAAGAGTTAGCTCCCTCCCTTTATTCACTTACACTGCTGCTTCCCTTCATCATGTGAAGCAGTCACTGAGCTGCATCTCTTGGAAAACTGGATGCTGAAACCTGTCTCCGTGCAGAGCTCCCAGTGGCTTCAAAGGAAGTTCACAGTCCAGAAGACATGTGGGAGCAAGACCCACTTGAGCATGTGCAAAGGTGAAACACTGACTGCCTTGACATCAGCGGGAGGTCTGCTTCTGCCTTCCACCAAATCCAGGTTTCACTCTCGGCTCCTGCCTTGACGCAGGAGTCACTGTTCATCTCGTGCAGTGTGGCATTGGCAGTGACTCCCACCTTTCCCCTCAGTGCTGACACACTAACTTTGATTTAACCATCTAGCTGCTGTGCCATGAGGCTGTTACCTATAAATGAATGAAGGTATTTAGGGCAGGGAAGGTGTGTCCTTGCTGGGGATAAAATGGGGTGTCCACTGCATTTGAAATTTGCTGATTTGCCCCTTATAGGAATGTTCACAGTTTAGCTTGCAAAGTGTAACTCAGTTCTGCACTGAAAATGTACTAAATGTGCTAAAGGCAAGTCGGTCTAAGCATTGTCTAGTCCCATGAAGAGGCCAGGGCCAGTTTTCTGAGAAGTTTTACTTGTGGAAAACAGCAATGTAGGCAAGACTAACTGTGTCTTCCAGAACTGTTAAGCATGAAGGCTTTGTAAAACATTCTTTTTTCTGCAGCACATTTCATTATTATTGCATGGACCTGGCAGGTCAAGACACTTTCTGTCCTGTAGTACTGAGTGTTTTTCTCTCATGGGAGTACAGTGAAGCTTATTTTTTTGGTGCCTCC